AATCTATTATTAAATAAAGTTGAATTATATTTTACTGCTAATATTATTTGATGAAATTAGTGAAGAAACTTATCTAGATGATAAAATTAAATGTATTACCAGTTCATTAAATTTATAAACCGGTATTTTTAAAAGAAAATCCCATTTTAAGCACAAAAATGTTTGAGTACAATACTTCAATTTTAAAATAAATTTATGTATACTGTGCTGTATATTATATAGAGAATTAAAAGTTATGTTCATCAATCATTTTATAATATAATATTGCATATTATATCAATATGTCATTGAAATTAAGCAATTTTTTAATATCTATAAATAAATTTTAGTATTATATATTTGATTAAAATTTAATATTGATTCAAAAGTTCTGAAATATTCTTTTGAAAAAATACATCTTAGAAATTCTAAAACGGATTGAAAAGTCATAAAAATTAATTAAGTTATATCACATCAATATACATCAATAACAATTTAAAATATTAGTACTGTATATTGTACTTACGAATAAAATGTTAAGCTTTGACATGTAGTCTATGAAATTGAGTGTTTAATTTAAACATTGTGAAACATTGTGAAACACTGTTTAAATATTTTGATAGAAAATATTGTTACACACAACAATAGACTTACCATTCATTCAGAACATAAAGAATACAATACAATCCATTCAGGTGTAGTTTTTGATCATTGAATTTTGCTCGGTATATAATACTTTTAAATAGCTGTATTTTTATTTAATAAAACTATCTAGTGTAATTTAATGTGAAATATAACAATATTTTTGAGAAAAGTATATTTGTAATCAAAGGTGTTATTAGATAATTTAATTATACTGTATAATAATTTAGTATTTTAAGCATTGAATAGTGAATAGTTGTGAATTAGTTGTGAATACAGTACTCATAAATGTCTGATAAAAAGTATTTTAACCTTTTTTGTACAAAATTACAACCGCAATACAAACAATAGATTTAAAACTTGATTAAACCATAATATTTACTTTACTTCGGGTTTATTTCAAAGAAGAAACTAATTGTCATTAATTCATTATCTCCCCAAACAGAGGTTACTGAATATAAAAGTTATAGTGTAAAGTCTTATAAAACTGTGAATTGATCTCAAATGTAGGCAAGTACAGTTTTTATTGTAAAATTAAAATAAGATTTATTACTAAAAATTATTTTGTTTCCTGTTGTTTTCATGTATCTTAATATACTCAGCAAACTGTACTAGTTCCTAAATATTGTTAGAAAAACAATGAAATGTAATATTTTAGTTTTACTAAATTTTATTAATAAAATTATACACAAAACTAATTTACAGAATCAGTATACTATGATAATACGTTGATTTTGAAAATAATTTTATTAAATACAATATTTTAACATTGATTATTGTTTGAAACATTTCAATTAAAACGCATGTATACTAGTAATAAGTTATATGAAGAGAATATAGTTTCAAACAATTGTTTACAAGTATTACAGAATATTCTGGAGTTTTGAGTTTGAGATCATTAAAGAGAGATCAAGAAATGCTAAATTCGATACATTCGGGAAGTCATCGGTTTATAGATGAGGATTAAAGTTAAGAGGATTTTACATATATTTTATGTTTTCGTCAATTTAAATAAATGTAAAAATTGAAAATATTATAACTTAATTAGGATATACTGTTACATAAATTTATAAATTTTTATGTTACAATAAATAGATTAGGTTTCTAGGGGACAAAATTACTCTTTAAATAAAATTCAATTAAATAAGTTATATTATTTAATAAAAAGGTCATTATAAAATCATATTACAATAGAAGCAAGTTAATATCAATATTAAAAGTGTTTAATATAGTCTAACAGTTTAAAGACATGCTAAACACAAGCTTACAATTTTGTTTTGATATAAAATATGGAAAATTATCTGATTTAAACAAAATGACACTTTTCTTAGTAAACTAAATCCGAGTGGAAGTCTCTTAATCTACTTTAATGTATAAAATATAGAAACAAATACAGTAATTATATCTGTTGTATTCAGATTGTGCCAAGCAAGTGGGTTATTTTGTCTTATTATTAAATTACGATAGTTTTTTGTTTGGAGAGTCAGTAAAAGGGGTCATCAATAATTTGAAGTCAAAAACATTGTTTAAGTTTCATATGAATTGTTAGTATAATTCAACCCAAATATGTCTTAAACTCACACTTTTGCCAATCAAGTCAAAAATAAATTCTTGATAAAAGCTAAGTTAAGCGTTAATTGGATGTTCTTATATGCATAATATGACCTGGCTTAGGCCTAAACTTAATTAAGTAATGGTAGAGTTGATGCTCTCATTTGTTGTAATCATTGGATTTGACTTCAATTCTATTGATATAAGAATTTCCTTCAGATTCTATGATATGGTAAACAAAAGCCTAAATAAAGTAAAGAATTTCCATTAACTCTTTTACAGAGTATTATAGGTTTTTAACCTCTCATTGTTTTTGAATCTTTAATCACTTTCTAAGTGATTCTAATTATAATAAATCATTTAATAATACAGTATATCAAAGCTTATAAAGATTAGTTTAATATTTTAACCTTTTAAAATATACTTGTATATAATTAACATATTAATAGTATTATTATAAAAATACAGAATCGTATGCTATAACATTGTTATTTTAAGTACGCAAGTAATTTAGATTAGCAGCTAAGTTATATCCTAAATACAATATATATTTTCATAATAAATTATTCACCATTTATATAATAAATTTTATGAGAATCATTAAATTTGAAATGATAAATATACTGTATAAACAATTTAATTAAATATTATTATTTTAATTCAAATATCAACAAACATTTCACAAGTAATATGTAATTGAAACTAAAGTGTGGGTGAAATCAGTATATTATGTGAAATGAAATGTAAAAACAGTGTAACTCTTACGGAGAGATACGTCACAGACATCCAAAGAGTGGGAAGATTTTGCACTTTTTATATCCAAATGTTCACTGAATGTCTCAAAACTCATTCATTTGTTTCTAATTCTGTGCTTAAATATTAAGTCTCCGTTGGTTTTAAGTATTAATTAAGACTTTCCAGAGTATAGATAGAAATAAATAGTAATCATTTATTGAATTTAAGCAAAAACTAAAATAAGTCCCAGTTTTCTCCCTGTTAATACCTATCATACAATGCTTTTTAGATAGGACGACGACCCTCTATTCTCATGTTACGTACTGTACGTACTCATTGAGTGACACCTTATGAGTTTGATAGAGGCTTAAGATTGCCAGGTATTTGTATTCTTGGAAATAATGCATTACTAGAAAACAATACATATGAGAATTGGCGTGAAGTTGACTAACAACTAGTTTTGTGTTTATCCAAAAACTAAATGAATACATTCCCCTCTGAATATGAAATTTTTGAGTTAACACTCATTTGTTTGCTTTTAATGAGAATCTTTTCGTTAGCATTTAAATAAATGATATTTCAAATTCTTACAGTTCATCGAAATCTAATGAAAAAACGTATTTCCAATTCGTCGGTAGATTTGATACCAAATAGTAGTACACAGTATTAGTACATAACTTGAGATTGTTGTATAGGTTTCTTCTAAAAACATTCTCTCTCTCTCTCTCTCTCTCTCTCTCTCTCTTCGGAAATGCCTTCAAGTCATTCGCCAAATGATAAGACAAATGCCTTCAATTGTAAAGTGATTATAGTTTACATCATATTATATCATACTTATCGTTTTGGACGTAAGAATTGTATTAAAAGTTTTTTACAGAATTTATCAACAGAATGTTATTATTCTTTATATGAAATGTCAGACAAAATACAGTATGTACTGTATTATAGGTATATCAGTATTGTTAGTTTTAGTTTTATAAATATTTCATAAATCTTAAACCAAATCCTAACAAATTCAAGTAAATTTATTTTGAATACACTAACATAATATTGGATAGACAAAGATATTTTAACAATTTTCTGAAAATACTATATTTTAATTAGACATATAATTTAGAAAGAAATTATAAGTTAATATTGCTATTACTAAATTATTACTAATAAATAATAGATGTGCAAATTAGGCAAAATTTAGATCCAGGGTATATTCTCAGGTATTTAAATATTATTTGCAATAAAATATGAATTGATTTAAAGCCATAATTACGAATTATCAAAATATTAGTATTTTTATAAGTTTAAATCTACAGTATAATATGGATTCTAAAGTTATATTAATTAAAAAATCTTGGGTAACCTATAATGGCTTTATATTCCCATAAGTTATGGACCATAACATACTTATTATGTTTACATTTTATATACATCTAAACTCCAATTAAATATCAGGTTCGACATTGATTAAATTGTAGAAATTTATAAAATAAAATGTAACTAAACTATTTCAGCAACAAAAACAACAACAAAAGGCCAAATACTCAGTGTTTGGTTACAATTTAGAGGAATAAGTTCAAATTGGACAGTGCAATGCTCGGTACATTTGATACGTTTTCAATTTTTCAATTTAATCACTTAAAGGTCAAATTTTAAGTTCAAATACATCTATATATTATAAAAATCGATTACCGGTATTATAGAAATTATAACATAGTCAAAACATTTTTCAGTAGATTTAAATCATTTATTGTGACAAATTTAGTGTTTCCAAATCTTTACTTCAAATAGCTTATTTAATAGAGTAGATGAATTTAATGATTAAGTATCTGAGACAATTAATAAAAAATTGTATACCAGTACTATATGTTTATTTAAAATAGTTTTATGAAAACTTACCAGTTAGGACTCAAATTAATAAATTTACTCTTTTATTGTAAAATTCTTTATTTCAGTCTTTATGTAAAATTTTAAAAGCAATTACAATTAAATATAATGTTATACTACTGTAAGTCTCAAAATAATGTTAAAATAAATGCATAATCGCTAAAATGGTCTAAATATATGATTAATAATATATTAAGTTAACTCAATCACTTGATCGCTGCCTTTAGTTATTTTGATTATTTGTATCAATACTTTGATAGAAAGTGAAGGTAAATGTTATAAATTATTAATAATGTTATATAGAATTTAGGACTCAAAATTAATTCCAGTAAATATTTGGCACATTATTAGACAAACAAATATCTTAAAGATGTTTATATTTAGTGAAAACCATATATAAGACTCTAAGCGTGGACTTCATGTCTGCGTTGACAATGTCTTCGGCCCTCACCTTCTGTTTGACCTAAAAGTAGTGAACCATTAGTTTTGTAAATGAATAAAGTATTTGAATGTTAATAATGAAGGGACAGTTAGTAATACCTGAATGCCTGAGTCCTCCATGAGCTGAAAGGCGACATTAATGTTATGGAGTTTATTGATGGGCGAGCTCTCGATGTAGTTGTCCGGCTGAATAGCTGTCTCCTTATTAGTCGTGGCCTCGATTATGGGGTCGACGGCAGTGGTGAAGATGTTGCCCAACGGCACGAAGTATCCCTCAAGCATTCCCATCAGGAATATCAAGAGTAGGCCGTCGCTGAACTGGTGGGGGTCCAACTCGACGCCCGTGGGGCCCACATAGCACTCAATGTTCACTTTGTTGAGGTGTTTGTTGACAAAGTTGACGAGCGATCGCTTGACGATCTGTAGCTTATCGGGCGCGTGATCGAAGAGGGTGTCAAACGCATCCCTGGGCTCCACACGCATTCCCAACTCGTCGTACGATCCCGTCAACTGTTCCGTCACAGTCGACGTGTGCAGATGACCCTCACGTTTCTGTCAACACATCCATGTATGAACAGTGACCATCAGTTAGCGACAATTTATGGCTATAATCACGGCATACCTGTACGACCACCAGATTCACCACTACGTTCTGTGGCAAACGTATAGGCGCTCTGTAGTGACGGATTAGAGCCACTAATAAGTGGATTATTTGGACCATATTTTTGTTGTGAATGCCTTCAAAATGATTCATCAATTAGTGACCGTTTTAAACAAGTGAAATACCGGTGCATACCTTCAACAGTCCACTTGACGGCCGACCACTTGGCCTGAATGCCGAGCAGTCGGTTCGCCTGATCCAAAACAGTCCTCAGTTTGGCTCTCTGTCCGTCTTCATTCTGAGTCACTTCCACGACATCCAACTTCTGAGAACTCAGTTTCTCTATAAGTTTGCCCAAAATCTGTCCGTCAAAGAGGTCTTCTTCCAAGTCTTTGACGATAATTCTCTGATCGCTTCAGTTATAAAAAACACATCGTTTAGAGATAATTATTTCAATCAATTTACAATTACTCTAAACCTAAGCTCATCGTTGATCCAATTGACCAGGATCTTCAGCAATTCCTGGTAGTCATGATTGTTGATCATACCCGGCTCAATCATCGATCGCTCCTCGTATTCGTCTAAACATTCAAATCACTTATTAAACACTAATTAATGAAGAATTTTATAAATTGCAAACCCATCTGTTATTATATTAAATTCATTGAACAAACATAATGCACGTTATTTACCGACTAAACTATAAATTTTAGTTTTAAGTAAATGTTTCAATGCTTATGTGATATACAAACTTACTTAAGACAAACTCTTCGGGGAGGGCGTCAATGACCGGGTGCTGTGCATTGCTGTCAATTGCTTGACGGCCCTCTTCTTCGATATTAACCGCTTCCGCCTCTTCAGACACAATCAATACAACAAACAATCAATTCATTTGTCAATTAACTTAATATTTCAATTAAATCCACTCCTCTATGCTCTCCATTCCCTCCCAAGTATTAAAGGAATCCCTTTCCCGTAATATTAGTTGTTTTGCACATTAATATAATCACAAGTAATGATTACCCCGATAGGCCTAATGATAGTTTAACCCTGATCACATAAATTCTATTCACCCAATGTTATGTATTAAGATAACTCGGGTGTGATTATTGGAAATGCGGAAAACATTACTAAACATTTGGACATATAATGAATACTTACATTAATATCACAATTATAAGACAAATGAGTGAAACCAATGGTTTAAAAGTGAATACTAATTACAATCAAAAGAAATGACTGCAAGAAGTAGAGTACGAGAGTTATTATGGGGTAAGGGATGGGAGGGAACGGGAGCTCAGTCTGGAGTGCTTTAGTGGAGACAAAATATGGATGTATTGGAGGGTTGTGGTGGTTGTGATGGTTGTGGTGATGCATACCTTCCTTGATCTTCTTCTTGCGGCCCAAAGTCCCCAAATAGTCGAGGAATGACTCGGATTTGCCGTTCGTTGGCGTCGGAGTCGTCGGACTACTGACCGGCTGTCGACGCGATGGCACCGGAGATGAAGACATACTACGGCACCACAGATGAGATAATGGACACAATTAATGGTCTGATATAAAGTTTTGTGAGTTTAATGTGAAATATGAATACAATAGACAAACAAATAGATTGTTGACATGTTTTGACACACTATTGGTTTGCCGTATATTTAGTGATAATTAGTGCAAAAGAGTTGTTAATAAAGTTTTATTCAATCAATTGTCTGTTAAAATGACTTACATTTGGTTGAGTTTTGTGTGATTTAAGTGAATTAAAGTGAATGAATCGCGGGATGTGTACAACAGCTGCCAAATGAGTGGTAAATGGGATAATAATAGTCTGTATTTGGTATTCAATACATAATAACCATATTTAGTAAACACTATTATTTTAAACAACTTTTCACTCATTCATTCATTCAGTGCTTAACACCACTCATAGCGCTCTCTATTGTCACACAAATGTCACAATTCTTTAACATTATTATGGATTCAATGAAATTCTGGTTTTATTTGTTCATTAGTTTCTCAAATTCTTAAAATATTTTATAAATGACTTATTTTTAATGGTTTTAGTTTCTTAATTTTCAATTAAAATGTTTTTAACTGTAAGAAATACGCAATGTGTTAAATCCATATTGAATATTTAACACTTCATTTATTTGTGTATTTTATAATTAAAATTTATTTCAAATGAGAATAAATTGAAATCATATTTTCACGTACAGTATTACACTAGAAATCATTTTATTTGTTATATAAAGTAATAGAAAAATTAGGAATAAATACAAAGAGTATATAAAAGTAAATAATTATATAATAAAATGGTATAAATGAATGTATAAATGGTATGAAGTGTTAGATCTGATCGCATAATAGTCTATACAAATGAGGAGTACATCCGACGCGACAGCAATGAGCGGCCAATTCGTGGGCTTCACTCTCTGTAATCGATTCAAATCAGCGCTCATTTTAATGAAAGGTTTCATAAAAATTAATTTCAATTTTAAATACAATATATTTACAAAGCATACAGTCTACCATGAGTTCAGTTTAGTGAACTTAACTTTATTTATTTAATCAAAGTCTCAATCGATTCGTTAACTTAAGTAAATAGAGAAACTAAATTTATTTAAAATCGTTTGATTATTCTCTCTCTGGAGAATACATTTGTTTATTATTACTGTTAATAAACTTCAAGTCTTTTATTCAAATTAAAGTCTATAATCAGAAAAGAAAAGGATTTTTTGAGCAAAATAATTGAATTAAAGTTA